TGTCCCAGAAGGAGAGTCCAAGAGCAGTGAGGAGGTGTTCGTCATCCCTCCCCACGCTATAATACCCAGACTATAACACCCAGACCCAGTTGGACAAAGAGGAGCCTGGTGCTGGAGCCTTCGAGTTGGACATGGATGCAAGCATCATTTCGGGAGGAGCATCACCTGATCAATGTAACCTCAAAGATGATGCCACCCTACAGAGCCTCCTGCAGCTATCCCAGCCACTCACTACCAGACCAAGAACACACTGAGAGCTTTGAAGAGGAGATGGAATTTGCCAGTGTGCCTGGACCAGAGTTTATAGAGTGATTCTGCCAACACTGTCCTTGACTTGAACAAGAAACTCACCTACCTTTTAAGATCTTAACTTGGGCAAGTGCTGAGCGAGCCCTCCGCAAGTTTCCATTGTGCCGAGGGAAGCCTGCTGGAGTTACTAACAGTAAGGGGCTTGTGGAAGGAACGTGTTAACTCTTCAGCAAGGTATTTTTGCCGCTCATGTTGAAAACATGGAACTCCTGCGCTTATCATTTATGACCGTGTCACGCCAAGGAAACTTAGAAACGGTAACACAGAGAACTGTTAAAGGTGTTCACTGACATGAAGTCAGATTACATCACCATTCAGCATTTTGAAAAGGAATTTAAAACGGAAACTTCCATTTGTTCTCGACCGGGACAGACACGGAGAAAATGTCATCAGCACAGCTGCCCCTTTTTGTGTATTGATGTTATTGCTGTTTCAAAGATTTTTGTGTTTTGTGAGTGTTCTGCCTGCATGCATGTGTATGCCCCACATGCATACATGCCTGGTGCCTGTGGAAGTGAGAGAAGGGTATTGGATCTCCTGGAACTGAAGCTACTGGTGATTCTGAGCTGCCATCTGGGCACCGGGAACAGAACCCAGGTCATTTACAAGAACAGCAGTGCTCTTAACTGCTGAGCCATCTCTCTGGCTCCTGGTTTTGGTTTTTTTTTTTTTTTTTTTAAAGATGGGGGTGTGGTGGTTTGAAAGAAAATGGCCCCCCCAAAAGAAGTAGCACTATTAGGGGGTGTGGCCTTGTTGGAGGAAGTGCGTCACTGTGGGGGTGGGCTTTGAGGTCTCTTTGGATCAAGCTTCCCTCAGTGTGACAATCAGTCAACTTCCTGTTGTCTGTAAGACATAGCACTCTCAGCTCCAGCACCACATCTGTCTGCATGCCACCATGCTCCCTGTCGTGATGATAATGGACTGAACCTCTGAAACTGGAAGGGAGCCACCTCAATTACATGTTTTCTTTATGAGTTGCTGAGGTCATGGTGTCTCTTTACAGCAGCAGAAACTTTAAGACACAGGGTCTCATCATGTATCCCTGGCTAGCCAGGAACTTGCTATGTAGACCAGGCTGGCCTTGAACTCAGAGATCTGCCTGCCTCTGCCTCTTGAGTAGGATTAGAAGTGTGCTGCCACCCTGCCTGGCTCACTGTTCTTTAAAGGTCTCAGTTCACGGAGGTAGCAAACACAGCTTCACTCTTTTTTCTTTTCTTCTTTTGAGACAGGGTTTCTCTGTGCAGCTCTGGCTGTCCTGGAACTCACTCTGTAGACCAGCCTGGCCCTGACTCACAGAGACCCACTTGAGTGCTGGGAGTAAAGGTGTGGGTCATGGCTGCCGCCACCGTCACCGTCACCACCACCATCACCACCAATTAATAAGAGAGCATCACTCTCTCTTATTAATTCAGTTAAATTCACTCTAAGAGAGAGGAGGAAGGGGGGAAGGAGGGAGGAGGGGAGGGAGATAGATCACCAATGGGGAAAGTTTAAGAAGCCCTACTCCAGAAAGGTCTTGGAGACCCAGATGCCTTTTGTCTCTGGGTTCTGTTACAACCTACAGCACTGGTTCTCAACCTTCCTAACGCTGCGACCCTTTAAAACAGTTCCTCATGTTGTGCTGACCCTCAACCATGAAATTATTTTCGTTGCTACTTCATAACTGTAATTTTGCTACTGTTATGAACTGTAGTGTAAATATCTGTTTTCTTGGGAGAAACATCTGTAAATAATGTAAATATCTGATGGTCTTGGGCAGCCCCTGTGAAAGGGTTGTTCGATTCCAAAGGTGTCACGGCCCACAGGCTGAGAACCACTGTTCTATAGACGTGTTCTCTCGTCTACACATCTCAAACGAGGTCAACACACTTTGGGTCCAGATCTCAGAGGAGAAAGAGGGAGAGAGGGCAAGCCGCTGCTCCTCTATCTGAGCGCGTGGACCCTGCTACATCCACGGCCAGCTCCGTTTGTCTGCCCAGCTGTTCATTCCTTCTATGGGATGAGAGAAGTTCCAGGCCGTTAGATGTTACGCCACATCTGACGGCATCCGGCAGAGTCTAATGTGAGCGGCCCCACCATTGGCCATGTCCCCGGTCCACTTCTAACCTAACTGCCGCCAGTCTGGACAAGCAGCCTGTGAACTTGTACTCACGCAAAATGGAGTAGCGGTCTGCTTCTGTCTCAAGGGCTACTGGTTTCATATGTGCCTGGGATCTTCTGGATACACCACTGTGCCAGACTTTAACAATCTTATTTATTCTCACAACCTCCAAAATGACCGGTCAGTCCAGATGAGTGAAGGATTACTGGGTACACGTTACTATACAAACACCTGGGTACAGGATGGGCGCATCCGTTGTCAGCCCGAAGCAGGTCTCCTAAGACAACAGACTGTCCCCCCTCAGACATTCATCCATCACATTGGTTTAGCGGGTAGGGAGCAGAGGTTTCAGTCACAGAATTGACATTTGACTCAATATAGTGTGCCGTCTCCTCCACGAGAGATGGCTATTTCCCGGTGCCCAACTGGTGCCTGGTGGCACCCACCCCAGGACAAGTCTCCCCACTGGGAGAGCCTCATGGGTACTTATCTTAGTAGTTTTGACCTTGAACTCTGAAAGGCCAGGTAGCCTCTCCACTTGCCCATGGGGATAGGACAGAGGCGGTGCGCTGTGCCTGGAGGGAGCCAGCAGGAAGTCAGGCTGGGAGAAAGAATGTGACCCTTTCCTGGGAGCCTGGGGTTTCCGGGAAATTCTGTAAACAACTCTCTTGGGTGATGTCATGGGTTCTTCGGTTAGACAGTTCAAGGACCTTCTGGCCTTAGGGGACATGCCATCACCTTTGGACATAATGCTGAGTCCATTATGGGAGCTGGGAAGAAGCAGGCGCCAGTTCACCTGTCTCCAAAGGTCCTGCTTAGTTTAGGCTACCCAATTGCTGGGACGAAACACCATGACCAAAGCAACTTGGGGAGGAAAGGGTTTGTCTGGCTTACACTTCCATACCCACTGTTCATCATCAAAGGAAGTCAGGACAGGAACCCAAGCAGGGCAGGAGGCAGGAGCCAGGAGCCAGAATCGATGCAGCGGCCATGGAGGGGTGCTGCTTACTGGCTTGCTCCCCACGGCTTACTCAGCCTGCTTTCTTATAGAACCCAGGACCACCAGCCCAGGAATGACACCACCCACCATGGGCTGGGCCCTCCCCCATCAATCACTAAGAAAATACCTTACAGCTGGATCTTATGGAGGCATTTTTCTCAATTGAGGTTCCCTCCTTTCAGAAAACTCTAGCTTGTGTCAAGTTGACATAAAACCAGTCAGGACAGGTCCCTCTGGATATTGCACTGCAGACATCAGTCACCAGAGATGTAGACTTGGGTGGCTCGACTCTGACACTGCCCTCTCTCCCTAGGTTAGTCTTTGACTACCCCATGGAGAACCCTTTCTCTTCCCTATGAGGCAGGAAGAGAGAATCAGATACATGTGGCTGTGAATCGTAAAAAAAAATCAACTCCATCCAGGCGATGGTGGCCCACGCCTTTAATCGCAGCATTTGGGAGGCAGAGGCAGGAGGATCTCTGTGAGTTTGAGGCCAGCCTGGTCTACAAAGTGAGTTCCAGGACAGTCAAGGCTACACAGAGAAACCGTGTCTCGAAAAACAAAACAAAAACGTTAACTCCAGGACCTCCTCCACCCAACAACCTGTCACTCAGACTGCCCTAGACCAGTGATTATACACCCCTTCTCCAGAAAACACCATCACCTACAACAGCCAAAGAAGGCTCTGCCTTTTAGGGAACACCTCTCTTTCCTGTGCAATGAGATCCTCTGGACCCCACACTGGGGCTCCCAAGTCCCATGTCTGTTGGAGTCCATTTCCATTCTGTGGACTGTATTCTATGTTTTATACTCACTCCTAATAGATCTGTACTTCCGATGCTACTCTGTTCTTGTTGCTCGAAATACAAAGAACCTGGACACTGATCACGGGGTACCCTGGAGACTCCCTCTAGTAACACAGGGAGCAGGAAGTGACTAAGAAGCCACCCAGACCATTCCCCACAAACCTGACCTCCTGTTGCAGCTATAAATGCATGCACAGGTACAAATAAAATACCAGGACAGGGGGACAGTGTCCAGAATATGTAAATAACTTCCATAAAGCAACAACAATAAAATACGACCCAACTGAAAATGGGCAAAGGGCTTGGATAGTGGTTTCTTCTTCTGGTGGTTCCTATGCACCTGGAAAGATGCTACGAGGCTACAGGGAAAACGGGGAGGGGCCTATGAGATGGCTCAGTGAGAACGCAGCAAGCTTTGTTTGGACCGCCAGCCCCCAAACCATGACACAGAGATATAGTATTAGTTATGAATGCTCAGCCTTATCTTATACTCATCCCACTAGCTCTTTAACTTAACCTGTTTCTCTTCATCTACGTGTTGCCTCGGGGCTTTTTACTTTTCTTTCATCCCGTATGACTTACTTTTCCTGCTTCTTCCGTGTCTGGATGGCTGGTGGCTGCCTGGCTGCCTGGATGCCTGGCTGGCTGACTCCAGGTGGCTCCCTCTCTTTCTCCTTTTGAGCCTAGATTTCTCCTCCTACTTATTCTCTGCCCACCAGCCCCGCCTGTCCCTCTACTGCCTAGCCACTGGCTGTTCGGCTTTTGATTAGACCAATCAGGTATCTTAGGCAGGCAAAGCAACGCAATCTTTAATCGTTAAACAAATGCAGCATAAACAAATGTCACACGTTTGCCTCGTTGAACAAATGCACCGTAACAAATACAGCACACCTTTACATAGTTAATGCATATTCCAAAACATAAAGAAATGTAACACACCTTTACACAGTTAAAGTAATATTCTGCAATACAAACAAACGTAACACACCATTACATAGTTAAAGTAATATTCCACAGCAGGGGAAAGGTGCCTGCAGTCAAACCTGACAACCCGAGTTTGATCCTCAGGACCCATACAGTGAAAAAAAAAGAGCATCGACTCCTGCAAGGTTTCTTCCGACAGACATACAGACACACAGACACACTAAATAACTCCTTCTTTACAATGATGGAAAAAACCTTAGTAACTCCTCACAAGGTCCAACAGTATCCACAGCTGCACAAGGCAATGATAACCAGAAGGAGGGAGCGAGCCAAGTGTCCCCAGTGACAGAGGAACAGATGGGCAGAAGGTGGTGTGCGTGCACACCAGAGGGTTATGACTCAGCCGCAGGAAGGGGAGACACCCACCATGCTGCCACAGAGATCAACCTTGAACACCACACGGTGAGTGAGATGAGCGAGACACAAAAGGTCACGCCTGGATGACCCCATGAGATGAGGCAACCTCACAGTCAGCAAGCAGCATAAAGGTCACCAGCAGCTAGGAGGATTAGGGTCAAGGGGCACAGGGTGTCAGCAGGGCAGATGACAAAGCTTTGGAGGTGGATGGTGGGGATGCCACACAGCAGCGTGCACATACCTCGGCCACTGGACCTCATGCTTAAAGACTGTTAAAATGAGGGCTGCAGCCACGGCTTTGCAGTTGAGAGAGGCTGTGCTTCAGAAGGACCCGAGTTCAGTTCTCATCTCCCACACGGGGCAGCATGAAACCCCAGCTCCTGGGAATCCAGCACCCTCTTCTGGCCCTGACAGGTACCTGCCCATGTGGCGCACGTGCATGCGCATGCACACGTGCACGCACACGTGTACACACACATTGACACACATGCATATACACATAAAAATTTAAAAATCTTTTTAAAATAATGGTTAAAAGGTCATTTGGCATGTACCCCTCCCCCAAGCAGTGGTTAATTTGTCAATCTGACAGGATCTAGAGTCACCTAGGAGACAAACCTCTGGGTATGTCTGAGAGTATCTTGATTAATCAGGGTGGGAAAACCCACCTTCACTGGGGGCAGCACCATTCCCTGGGCTGGGGTCCTGGACTGAATACAAAGGACAGAGAGAGGTGAGGGCCAGTATCCACTCATCCTTCTCAGTTGGACCACAAATGCAATCTATCCAGGGGCCTCACGCTGCTGCCGCCATGCCTTCCCCAACCCCTACGGACGACAGTCCCAAACTGTGAGCCAAAGCCAGGCCTTTCCTTTCTCCAGATGCTTCTGTCAGGGATTGTCACAGTTAACGGAGTGACTGTGACGCGGCTGAGCTGGGCCTGATTTCGAGGCACCGAAGGCAGCCATGTTGCTGTGGAGTAAGAGGCGGCTGGCCATACTGCCTGGCTCCCCGCTGTGCTAGCAGACGCAGCCCCTTCAGACACTGGCCTCCTGAATGGAAACCACTTAAGAGTCTGGGAGGGAAACTCAAGTTGAGTCACTCCTGCAGGATGTGCAGAGGCAGGGCAGGACCCCCACACTTGGCAGCCTGGGAGGAAATGATTCTGTTTTGCAAGCATCCCCTGTCACCTAGGCGCTCATCAGGGACAACTGTGTTTCCTATCTTAAGACATTTCCAAACGGGGCGTGCTGGCGAGCACTTCTGAGCACTTCTGTAAACATATCCGGGAGGATCAGGGCCATGCTCCAGCTCTGGGGCCCAGGGCCTCTAGGGTTTCCACAGGAAAAGGCCGCAGCTGGCAGGAAGCCTGGGGTCTTCTAGGTTGCTTTCTGGAGATGACCTGAGCCTTAAAAAAAAAAGGTACCAGAATGCAGAAGGCCACCCAGTCTCCAAAGGGTGCTCACTCCACCTGCTCCAATGAAATCGAGGACCCCCCCCCCCCCCCAAACCGGAATCCTGTTTGCCCTTGCTTGGGCTTCGGTCTCTGCTTTTCTCTTCGCAGGTGCCCAGAAACCCAAAGATCCGCTCCTGGGTTCCCCCCACAAGTGCCCTGGAGCACGGAAGGCCTACAACATGAGCACCAAGCTCAGCCCCTACCGAGTCTTCTCACGGCCCCATTCCATCTCATCTCCTTGATCCTGCAGCATTTTCAAAGCCACAGCTGTCACACACACACACACACACACACACACACACACACACACACACACACACACACACACACACACACACCCGACCAGGAAGGATGAGGACAACATCCAGATGGGCACCTCCTCCTCCTCCTCTGACATATCCGTTGGCCCCTTTGTTCCCCAGTTAAATGCAAACCCAAGCATCAACCCTGCGTGTGTGGTCATCACGGTCCTAGGTGCTCTGCAGGTGAGGGCACAGGGTGGGCAGTGGCAGTGCGGCCCATGGGGTCACAATGGTTACTGGGAACTGAAAGGGAGACCTTCTTTACAGTTGGTTACACTCACTAACTCAGGCAGGCTGGTGGCTTTCCATGTGGGCCTTTTCAGGACCCTCAGCTCCCCAGGGAGGAGACACGGTCTGCTCCTGGCCTTGGCCAGGATCACTGTGGTCACCTATTATTTATCGCTTGGCTAGGAGCCAGGCACACAAACTATTCTTCCTGGAACCTGCCAGGGCTGGGAGCGGCTGAAGTGAGGGTTAAGAGCCAGGCCTGCTAAGAAAAGCTAAGATTTAAAAGTAAGAGCAAAGGGAGAACCGTGGGGGATGGGCCACTCTGGGGTGGTAGCCTGTGCTTTGAACGTGGCCCTGAGAACTCCCAGCCTGAGGGGAGAGGGGGAGATGGGGTGCAAACCACAGTAGTCTCACGGTGCCGAGTCCTGGCCTCTCTCCACATGGAGCTCTGCTTGGTTACATGAAAGGCAATGACCCTCTGCAAGGCCAACCCCTGAGGGACAAACCATTATTTTGCAGCAGAAATGTCTTCAGTGACTCTTCAAAGAGTGTCTTGCTCTCTCTCCCGCCGTGGGTGAGCTCGCAGTACTGGTGCCGTCTACTGCAGTCTCCACACTCTTCACCACAGACCTACTAAGCTGGTGCCCCCCCTCCCCCCCCCCCAGTGAAGGAGGCTCTCCCCACCTCGTGCCCAGTGAGGGTCCACCCCACCTCCCTTCGCAGGTCTCCTGCTTCAGACTCGATTCTTCTCCTCCGCTGGACGCTCCGTTAGGGAGCCCCAGGGTTCCGTGCTGGCCTCAGTCGGTTCTCTCTGAAGCACGCCTTCCCCGTGGGTCCTAGCCACACCAGGGACTTTACTGCCACTGTTCTGTCCAGTCCCTGAGGACTTGCCAATCAGCCTTGCTGCGTTCAAATCCCGGCTCTGCCATTTACTGGCCGGTCACTTCTTAGTCTCCCACCAGAACTCAGGTTTTCCTTTCCTTTCCTTTCCTCTTTCCTTTCCTTTCCTTTCCTTTCCTCTTTCCTTTCCTCTTTCCTTTCCTTTCCTCTTTCCTTTCCTTTCCTCTTTCCTTTCCTCTTTCCTTTCCTCTTTCCTTTCCTTTCTTTCTTTCTTTCTTTCTTTCTTTCTTTCTTTCTTTCTTTCTTTCTTTCTTTCTTTCTTTCTCTCTCTCTCTCTCTCTTTCTTTCTTTCTTTCTCTCTCTCCTTTCTCTTTCTTCCTCCCTCCTTCCCGTCTTTCTCTCTCTCTCTCTTTTTTCCCTTCCTTCCCCTCCCTCCCTCCCTCCCTCTCCCTCCCTCCCTGCCTCCCTCCCTCTTTTGGCCCAGCCACCTCACAGACTCTGCCAGGCAGCAGCAAGCCCACCACTTAGCCAGCTGGCCCCAGCCCTGTCTACTCTACTGTCTTCTTTTTTACCCGGGAAGCCTGAGTTTCTGCATCTATGACAATTTGTGACACGCTAACATCTTTCCAAGGTGCAGAGGAGACCTTTACCCACACAGATCTGTGTCTCTAGGTGTCTGCAGGCACAGACATGCTGAGGTCCCCTCTCTCCTTCCAGTGAGCACAGCAGATGTGGCCAAGTTCCACACGCATGAGTCCTAAGACCCTCTGCCGTCTGCACAGACCCACAGCCAAGGGCAAGCAGCCTCTGAAAGCAGGGCAGCATACCCGCTGTGGGGAGTGCTCTGCCTGTGATGAGTGCTCTGCTTGTGGGAGTGCTCTGCTTGTGGGGAGTGCTCTGCTTGTGGGAGTGCTCTGCTTGTGGGAGTGCTCTGTAAGTGCTCTGCCTGTGATGAGTGCTCTGCTTGTGGTGAGTGCTCTGCTTGTGGGAGTGCTCTGCCTGTGGGAGTGCTCTGCCTGTGGGAGTGCTCTGTGTGATGAGTGCTCCAGGCTGCCCTGTGATTACAGCTCCAGCTTATGATGCTTGGGAGGAATCTGCACTGCCCCATTAAGTTCATATGCACAGAAAACATTCTGTAGCAACAGGTAAGAAAATCCCAGCCTTGACCACCTCAGGATCAGAGTGGGAATGATCACTGGCCTCACTATCGTCCTCAACGTCACTAATTAGGAGGGAGGTCCTGCCATCCTTCTCCATCTTTTAATAATCGGTATTGACTCCCGAGTCCTATAGCTGGTTCCCAAATCTTCTTCACTGATGCATCCAAACAATGCCAAAGTGCTGCTAACTGCTGAAGCCCACAGTCAGGCTCCACGAGGTTCATGTGCCTGCTGGTCCAGACTAGTTCAACGAGCTTCCGGAGAGGGAGGACTCTCTGTGTTCGGAGCTCTCGCCTGGGCCGGCACAGGGCCTGAGGAAAGGCTGCCCAGGGTAGGCAGGCAACAGGCCAGGTGTCCTGCAGTGTGGGGACTGTTACCTCGTGCTTGATTGGAGGAATCTGATGCTTGGGGAACGTAAGTGACGTATTGAGTTTTCTTATCTGGAGCTGATTTTCAGACTTGGCCTTGTAGAACTGGTGGGGGTAGGTTGGGAGGACTCTTACCTGCCTCCATTGGTGGTAGCTGAAATGTAAGTACTGTCCACCAAACTCACCCCAGCTGCCTTTGCGTGGTTTTTCACTGACTTCTTCCCTACGTCCCTTTTATTTTGTGTGATGTCAGGACTGAGCCACACCTCTAGCCTCTGCCTTCCACACTAACACATTCCGTTAATATCAACCACCTGAGTTCGGCCTCCCTCCACCTCAGTCTCTGTTACCATAGGGATGCTGCTGCTGCAGTTTTCGAGAAGGTCTCAGCTGACCCAGGGGGGCAGAGATGACCCAATAGGGCCATAAAGGGACCCGTGGATCGTGGTTTGTTGAGGAGACATGAGCCTCAGGCAAGGCTCTGAACCTCCTGTGACACACGGGCTGGTGAGCTGGCCTGCCCTTCATGCCTTGAGTGACTGTTGCTGAACATGACTTGTGAGGCAGGTCCTGTTTCGAGTCCCATCCTTCAGGTGAGGAGATGAAGGTCCATACAGCAAAGAACTTTGCCTCAGGCCCGACCAACACCAGAGGAGGAGGCATGTAAACCATTTAGCTCCAGGCCTGTCATGTCACCGGAGCATGGCACATGTCAGTGAGATAACAAGTCTATGTGAGCTTTACTGGGCCCTGTCCACACGCTGACTAAAGCAATGGATGTGACTGTTAGTGCTGGCCTCACCCAACCCATTGAAGGCCGGAGTGGAAGGGCAGGGTGTAGCTGAGTGCCCTCCAGCTCTGCCCTTTCTGCAGGCGGAGCAGGCCTGAAAGCCCAGCTCTTCACAGGCCTGCAAACCGTGGCCAGTGGACTGCAGCTTCTATCATCAGCTGCTCTGAATCTCCAGCTTGCAAAACTGTAGACCTTGGAGGCTTCTTGGCCTCTCAGAACTCCAGGTAACAGCTTTCTAGCAAATTCTGTTTCCAGTAGAATAGAGACTGTGTCTCCTCCATGCAGCCAGCAACCACCCTGAGCATGTTGAGCGCTGGGTGCTGTGGACTTACGAGATGAACAATGTTCATTAAGACTCACCAGGCCGGGCGGTGATGGCGTACGCCTTTGATCCCAGCGGGACAGAGACAGGCAGATCTCTGTGAGTTCGAGGCTAGCCTGGTCTACAGAGTGAGTTCCAGGACAGCCAGGGCTATCCAGAGAGACTCTGCCTCAAAAAGAGACTCAGTAGGTGCTCAGCAGGGGTACTCTGGTCCTTGCCACTCAGAGCAAGAAGTCACCCTCAACAGCATGATAGGTGGTAAATGGTTGTGAGGCTCTGAACCCCACTCCCCACCCCCGTAACAAAAACTAGCAAGATGAAATTCACTCCTTATTGGAGACTTGCAGCGATGCCTTTGAAACTCAAATTTTTAAAACAAATCCATCGTCATGGTAACCCTCTTAAAACAAGCTCCAACCTGGCTCGGAGAACCTGCAGGGTAATTACAATAGTGCTTTGTATTTAGCTCCACCTTTCTTCTGAGGGCTTTAATGGACTTCACTCATTAAGCTCCACGAACTCTCTCTGAAGTCTTCAGGGGACAGATACTATTAAACCCATTTTACAGATGCACACACCAAGGAACAGCAGGTTAAGTGGCTGTGCCACTAACTGGCAGCTTGGCCAGGAGCAAGTCTAGACCAGACCCAGGTCTCCTCCTCTTTCCTCTGCTGTCTTCACTAACAGACTCCATGCTGGCTTCGGAAAGCCCTCCCTCATTAAAGGATTACAGTTTCTCACAGCCTGGTCCGAGGATCCCTGACTCTGCCGTCTGTGTACAAACACTGATGGGGTGCAGAGAGGGGAGAGGGGGAGCAGGGGCGGTGGCTGTGGGACTGTAGAAATGGGGGGGCAGGACCTAAGACTGTAGAGCGTCACTCATCCTCACGTCCCAGGGGATGCAGAGCGGATATGGAGGCACACCTGTCCTGGCTTGAGTCCCCTCCTCTGCACCAGTCACAGTGGCTAAGGTTCCGTCCTCCCCGAGCACCGCAGCCAAGCTCACCTTGCAGTCTGCTGCGGCTCTGGGGTCCCCAGGTCAGCCCCACACCACTCCACAGGTCTTCGGATGTAAGCTCCGGGGCCTGCTGGGATTTCGTTCAGCCTTACTCCACAGCGCACTCGGCCTCCATTCCTGCGACTCTTCCGTCGTCATCCTGGGAAAACAGAAGCTGCCCAGGCTGGCAGGGGCCTCTGTTTAGTCAGTGAATCAGTGACTGTCACTGGGCGAGCGGGGAAGCGGAAAGGGGGCCAGAAGCCATGAGTCTGGCAGCTGGCCGCGGGACATTAAGAAGAGGTACAGCCACCATGTGAGGAGAAGGAACGCCCCCTCCAGGAAGGGACCCCAGAGCTTGTCCCCTGTGTGAAAGGGAACTGCAGGGGGCCGGCAGGCCCAGACTAGAAGGGGAATTCTCAGGAAGAGGCAACCATTGACCAGGCCATGCTTGGAAGGCTGGTGGACACAAGGGGGCTCCAACAGAGGAACAGCGGCCATGGCCATCGGGGGTGAGGGCACAGAGGCAGGGGTGGGGCTCCGGGGAGGAGAGCTTCCCAGGTTACATTCATGCTGCAGAACTCCAGAGGGGCTAGAGCAAGAGAAGGCTGCAGGCCTAGGGTCAGCCCGTGTGTGAGCAGAAAGTGGACGTGAGCTGGGCGGTGGGGTAGGGAGGGGGGTACAGGCAGGGAAATCCAACCGAGTAGTTGTTCCCGCCAGCTGGACTTGAAAACCCCTCCAATCCTGAGTCTAGGATTCATCACTCTGTCCTCCGTCTAAAAGAAACCCAAGGCTCCTTGAAGAACATAGCTGGACTCCTTCCCATCTGCCGGCTTTGAAGTCCCATTCGGGTTGGGCAAGGAGCAAGGACCACCAGAGAATAGGAACTTCCTCTTCCGTGTGTGTGTGTGTGTGTGTGTGTGTGTGTGTGTGTGTGTGTGTGTGTGTGCGCGCGTGTGTGTGTGCTGGGGCAGGGATGGGGGCCCTCACGGGTGGGTCAGGAGGCCCAGGAGCACAGCAGGCCTCCTTCCTGCTCCTCCTCCTCCAGGCCACCAGGCCTCTAGGAGGCCCACTCACTGACCACCTTGGGGGCTTTTTCTCAACTGAGGCTCCCTCTTTGAAAATGACTCCAGCTCGTGTCTAGCTGACATAAAACTGGCCAGCACGCCATCTCTTTACGGACACCGTGAACTGATGTCTCTAATGTCATGCTTGCTTTCTCCTTTTAGAACAGTTTTTATTATAACACTGACTTGGGTATATGTGCACACAGGTGTGCAGTGGACATCTTGTATGAGTCAATTCTCTCCCACCACGTGGGGTTCACAGACTGAACTCAAGGTCATCAGGCTTGGCAGCAAGCACCTTCAGCTACTGAAACATCTCACCAGCCAGGCCCTCCCTCACCTTTTCTTATTTCCGATGGCATACTGACCCACTGCCACCTCTTCCAGCTGAAAGAAAATGCCTTCTTGACCTCAGACATCCCATTTTCCGTTCCCTTATATTACAGTTTCTCCCAGGGGTTACTGGTAATGGTTATTTCCAATTTCCTTTTCCCCAGTTTTCCTCCAATCTTTCCAATTTAATATTTTTAGCACCCTGCCCTCTCTGGAACAGCAGGTGGGAAGCACTCCTCAGGTATGGAAATATAGCTTCTTTTGGTATTAAGGACAAAGTTTAACCTTTGGTTCTCATTCAACTCAGTCCCCTGTGACAGGGCAAGACAGTGCGAGGTTCCTCCATCTTGGATTCTTGCTGAGGCCACGTTAGGTTTAACTAGAATTTCATCTCTTCGAGGGAGAATCAAATGGAAAATCACCCAATTCTATCCTCAGAACCCGAGGTCAAGATGGCCAGCTAGGCTACCGTACCTTCTGTTATACTGCCTGCTTCTGCAACCTGCCCCCTCCTCCGCTGCTTGTCTTAACTTCTGTTAAACTGCTTGTTTGCATAAAACCTTCCTCTGCAGCTGCCAAGCAAGATACCAGGATGTGGTTTTGTCTTTGAAAAACCCCCTTACCCCAAAGGCTTGGTGCTATACTTGCGTCCTGAATTCCTGAGTGTAGTCTCAGTTGGCTGGATGGAATAAAGACTTTCAGTTGGTTATAGGCTGTATCTGAGAGGTCGTCTCCGGTGGGTACCCCATAACAACTTAACTAAATATCCATGATGTGGCAGACATTGTTCTAGGAATTAGATACACAGCCACAAACAAAACATACTAATTAAACATCCTCCCCAACCCTTACTGAGTTGACATTCTGGGAAGGGTAGCCAGCACTGGACAAGTCAACCTAGAACCTTCGTGGTGAGCAAGGCGCATGCAGCTGGGAGGGATCTGTTGCCTCAAAGCAGAATGGGGGGTGGAAGCTACCAGCTGGGACAGGCTGGTTCATCCAACTGTTCTTCATTTTTGTACGTACTGACATTTTCCACAGTAAGGTTTTAAATGTTTTAAGGTTTTATTTATTTGTGTGTGTGTGTGTGTGTGTGTGTGTGTGTGTGTGTGCGCGCGTGCGTGCTCTGACTTACTAAAGCTGGTTTCTTCTTCTCCTCAGGAAGCCAGCTGGTGCCTTTACTCACTGAACCGTCTCTGTGGCCCCACAGTAAGGTTTGAAAAGCGTATTTATATCGAGTATCGTTTGTAATCTTGGCATGCTGGCACTGAGGGGTGACAATTTCCACAGGAAGAACTGAGCAGACAGGGAAAGTAACCTGAGAGCCCGGGAGGAATGGAATGTGTGGAGGCTGAGGGACTGCCTGGAATGCCTTAGAAAAGAGGAAGGTCAGGGTGCTGATAACTAACAAGGAGTCGGTGGCAGGCCGGGTCCTTCAGGGACTCAGGATGTCGGGAAGGAGAAGTGAGCCTCTGGGGATTCTGAGGAGGAGGAGGAGGACCTGAGCTAACCTTCCCAGAGGCCCTTCTTAGTCTCTCAGCCCAAGCCGCCCTGTGTCAGTATGTCCGTCCCGGTCAATCATGTGTCTCTGAGCACACCTCCTTCTCTCTAAGGACCACTGTTGAGATGACTTGAAACAGAAGATTTAGGCACTGGCTCTAGGATATCAAAGCTTTGATTGGGATCTGGAGGAGAGGACATGTCACTCAGGAACCTCTGTCCCTGTGACCTGGTGCCCGGGTTTGGGGGTGCACTTTTCACACGGGGCTCCTAGGTGCTCACCCTGGTGCCTGGGTTTGGGGGCACACTTCTCACACTGGCTCCCAGGTGCTCACCCTGGTGCCTGGGTTTGGGGGTGCACTTCTCACACTGGCTCCCAGGTGCTCACCCTGGTGCCTGGGTTTGGGGGTGCACTTCTCACACTGGCTCCCAGGTGCTCACCCTGGTGCCTGGGTTTGGGGGTGCACTTCTCACACTGGCTCCCAGGTGCTCACCCTGGTGCCCGGGTTTGGGGTGCACTTCTCACACCAGCTCCCAGGTGCTGAGAACAGCTGCTGGCGGGACTAGGGGGATTAAAGCCATATCCCGGGGCCGGTAATGGGTCTGAATCTGAAATGTTCTCCATGGCCCCGAACTCTCCAGACAGCGGTGTTATCTTGGCACCTGGGTGCTTTTGGAGGTGGGGACTAGCTGGCAGAGACCAGTCCCAGGTTTTCAGGGCAGCCCTTTAGGGCCATGGGCTGCAGTGACGTGCACAGCCTCTGCACACGCCACCACCCTCAGAGACCAAGAGCCAAGGTGAACCCTCCCTCACGTTGTCTGTGTTGAGTACTTCGGGGACAGCTGTACAAAAGCAACCATAAACCCAGAAACACGGCCGAGGACGTGAACAGCCAACTTCAAGAAAGGGGGGGTGGGGCGCCAGGGACTCAGCCTGGCGAGGGTCTGCTTAAGGAGTGAACTGTGTGGGTGCGGGTCGGGGTAAGTTCTGAGTTCACAGCACAGGCTGAAGAGGCAGGGGCCACACTGAAAGAGGGAGACGTGACCAAGTCCACAGCTCTGATGGGGTGGGGTGTTCTGAGGAGGCTACGACCTTTCCACAGCACCATCAGAGAGTGCTAATCCATGTGTCCAGCACCATCAGACCGTGCTAATCCATGTGTCCAGCACCATCAGACCGTGCTAATCCATGTGTCCAGCACCATCAGACCGTGCTAATCCATGTGTCCAGCACCATTAGACCGTGCTAATCCATGTGTCCAGCACCATCAGACTGTGCTAATCCATGTGTCCAGCACCATCAGACCGTGCTAATCCATGTGTCCAGCACCATCAGACCGTGCTAATCCATGTGTCCAGCACCATCAGACCGTGCTAATCCATGTGTCCAGCACCATCAGACCGTGCTAGTCCATGTGTCCAGCACCATCAGACCGTGCTAGTCCATGTGTCCAGCACCATCAGACCGTGCTAGTCCATGTGTCCAGCACCATCAGACCGTGCTAGTCCATGTGTCCAGCACCATCAGACCGTGCTAGTCCATGTGTCCAGCACCATCAGACCGTGCTAGTCCATGTGTCCAGCACCATCAGACCGTGCTAGTCCATGTGTCCAGCACCATCAGACCGTGCTAGTCCATGTGTCCAGCACCATCAGACCGTGCTCGTCCATGTGTCCAGCACCATCAGACCATGCTCGTCCATGTGTCCACCCTGTGGACTCCACACAGGCTCAGTCCAAAGAGCTCGCATTTCACTTGCACACACAAGAAACTCCAAACTATGGAAGCTGAAGTGAATTTTTAAATTTTCCACAGGAAGGAGTCCTCCTCAGAGAAGCTGTCCAAATGAAAGCATCTCCTTTTTCTTTAATAAGCATTTGCCCATCTCAAATAGTACCTCAGCAGAAAATAACTATGTAATTTTGTGACAAGTTAAAACAAATAGCCAGTAGCATCCATTTATTATTCATTACCATTAATTTATACTCTTGATATAAAAATAGCTTAAAAAGGATACCGAAGTAATATAAAAGCAGGCAGGTAAGTCTGCCAACATAAACTCATGGACATAAACAGGGCCAATCAGCAGACACCAGGTAAACAGGAGTGGGACTTCTGTGTGGCTCAGTCCTGAGGGGCAGAAGACACTGTGAACAAGGACATTCTGGATGGGCAGTGGTGGCGCACATCTTTAGTCCAAGCACTCAGGAGGCAGAAGCAGGCAGATCTCTGAGTTCAAGGTCAGCCTGGTCTACAGAGCAAGTTCCAGAACAGTCAGGGGTATATAGAGAAACCCTGTCTCGAAAAACCAAATCAAACCAAACCAAACAAGACATTCCTACAACATGATAATCCCCTGTTTTCAGCAGAAACTTTTCATTTCATGTAGACCGTTCCAATATTAGAAACGGTGCCTGCTTTCCCCGTTACCTCCAGAGACGAGAGTATTTAAGGGGGCAACAACTTAGAAAAAGCACCCGGGACTGCTCAGGCCGAGTGGTGGGCCAGGGCAGACCACCATCACCACTCAGTTCCCTCGCCTGGGTCTGACTCCCTTGTGAGACTCCACGGTCTTGAAGAAGTGTTGCTTCCTGGTCACACAGCCAGTTCCCCGGTCAGTGAAAGGGCCGGCCTCTTCTGGGTCTGGACCTCAGGTGGCCAGCAGACCTCCGCAGCTTCTTCCTCTCCTGGCGATGCAGTTTCTCGGCCTCCTGCTGCTTCTTCTGCTGTTCAGACTAAAAGAAAGGCTGGTGAGTGGAGGGACGGAAAAGAGAAGGGCAGGGATCATGTGGAGACCCCAGGATGCAGCAAAGGGCTGCCTGGTCATGGAGTCCTGGGACCTCCCCCACACAGCACAACTCAGCATCAGGTTCTGGCGGCTGGAGGCAGCAGCCGGACAAAGGCCAATTTCCACTGTCCAAAGGAGAGATTCTGAATCCCTGGGCAAGAGGAGAAGCATCCACACACCAGCCCAGCATACCGTAGGAGACCCCTGGGATGCTTTAAGGAGCCAGAGAACCACTCCAGCTCATTCAGCTTGCACACTAGGACTGTGAAGTCATTCACACAGACTTCAAATCAAACAAAAAATGTCCTATTTTATCAAAATGTGTTATGACCCAAACCTGATTAACTCCCTCATTAGGACTAGCTCCAGAGAGCTTTTGGGTGCTCGGGAGGAGGGAGGGAGCACAGATGAATCCAGCCTCCCCGGAAGGAACAGACTAGCTCTTATTCACCCTTGCCAGGCTTGGCAGGTGGTTCCAGGTTCACAGCTCTGGGGTGTACCAGGCTAGTGGAGGGGATGGTTTGACGGGAGTTCTTCCTCTTCACTTGCCTCCGAGAGGGAATGCCCCCAGACCCCGCCTGCTCCCCAGTGGCTGCTGGGCTGCACAGGGTGAGGCCTGGCTTCAGACCCCAGCGCCTGCTGCACTCGGAGCTTTCGGGACGCACCAGTGTTTCCCTCTTGAGGAGACCGTCTGCGTTTGAACAGTGCGTGTGGGAGAGTGATGGAAGGGAAGCAACTGATGAGGCCAGAAAGAGTCACCTCTGCATCCTCGGCTCTCTCCCAATCAGGATCTTGTGCGCATGTTCAGACTAAGCGCCCAGTGTTCTCTCTCCTAGCCTCCCCTCCTCACTGAGTGGCGGTGGGGGATGGCGACACAACCACATCCTCCTGGCTCACTCCTCTGGTCATGGCCAGTATGTGTTTTTGTTTTTGTTTTTTCACAGGGTTTCTCTGTGTAGCTTTGCACCTTTCCTGGATCTCACTCTGTAGTCCAGGCTGGCCTCGAACTCACAGAGATCCACCTGCCTCTGCCTCCCGAGTGCTGGGATTAAAGGTGTGAGCCACCACCGCCCAGTACGTTTTTAAAAATAAAAACGTTACGTCAGGCTGCTGGGGCGGCTCAGTGGGTAAAGGTGCTTGCCATCAGCCTGACGACCTGAGTTCGATCCCCTCGGCCCACATGGGGGAGGAGAGAACTGACGGCACACGCTGCCCTCTGACCTCCATATACATGACATGGCACGCACGGGATGCACACACACACATGCACATAAAAATAAATAAAATCTGTAAAAAATGCATGTTGGCATGGGCCTCTGCTCCCTAAAACCCTGGTCCGGTTCCTTGTCACTGGTGCACCTCCTCCGGAGCACGCACTCTGGGCGAATTCTGTAATGTGTCATCTACCCTGTTCATTTCCTTAGCAGAAAGAACCATAGGAAGACCCAGGGCTGAGCTGGCACTTCAGAGCACTGTACTGGTTTCCTGTGTTAATGGGGGACTCTGGAACCTGGGGGCTGCACCTGCCCTGCAGACCAAGCTGCAACATCACGACCCTAGCAGAGCTTGACACAGCTATTTGATTATGATGATCTAGGTTCTGGGTTTGTTCCAGTGAGTGGCTGGGGTCAGGAGCAGAAGAGGGGAAGAACATTTTGCAGCTATGGATAACCAAGTTTCCCTAAAAAGCGCCCCCAAGCCCGAGACAGTGTCTATGCAGCCTAGACTAGCCTCACACTCATGATCTTCCTGCCTCAGGCCCCAAGTGCCTG